TGCTCAGAGCTCCAAGCCTCTTCTGAGTCAGCACCGTATCCAAAAGATTTCTTTTTTGGCATTTTTGGCATCTGGTGTTTCTTCAGGGATGTGTTTCCAGTCCTTCTGCTCATGATTCTTATTAAAGCTCCAACACAACTCTTCAGATCTACTGTGAAATCCGTGCTGGACCTCTTACAGCTTCCAGACAAGCATTGCCTCATAGTGATAGATAGAAACCGTGTAGGGGGCCTTCATTCACTGTTCTGCAGGCCTTCCAATTTCCACTGCTGTTTGTGGAAAGACGTTGGGTGGATACCCAATGGCTGTTGAAAGTCTAGATACAAATCTAGATGTATTTCTTTGGGGGCCCTGGCATTGTCCCTTTCCTGAGCATCAGCCTATGCAAGAAATAAACGTCCATCTGGCCCGCTGTGGATTCAAGTGACTACTCTTGATTCCTTAGAAGCTGCTGCTCTGTTGTCCATGGTAGTACAGGTCTGAGCTTGCTCCCCATGGGTATATATTGGCTCCGGAAGGAAATTTGGACACCAGGTTGGCACTGTGGCTCCGCTACTATAGGTTGAATGGATACCATGAGCTGGAGGTACCAGTGTCTGCAAACTACAAAATCAGCAAGACTCTATTGGAAACGGTCTTGTTTTAATAGACAGGATCATACCTAAAAACATTATTAATAGCATCTCTGAGAGTAGACTCTTCTCCTTCCTCTGCATTTCATCTCTTCTATCGCACCTTTAACTGGAAGATTTTGTAGCCACCATTCCTCTTTTTACTATTTATTCCTTATCAGAAAAAAATCAGTAAGTGAGTATTGTTACTGCAGATCCAAAAGATTTAACAGCTAATATTGCTCTGAGGCCTTGGGTGAAACAAGGTCAGTTCAAGAAAACTACTTTGGACTTTTTTTTCTCTCTTTTTTTTTTCTTTGCACTGTTTAATCCACTTCCATTATCTGCCAGGCTCAGGGGAATGGGAATTCCATAGATATTATGCTATTATTTTGATTTTCAACTCTGTGTTGTCTTAGATCATGGAATAATAGAATGAGTTTCTCTGCATTTTTCCTGCAGATCTCTCCTCAGGCTGGAAAGAATGGCAGCCAGGGGCAGGCCCTGTGCAGCTGCAGAGGAAGGAGTGTGCATGAGCTGGCTGTGTGTGGAGGGGGTAGATAACATGATGGTGGGATGAGCTGAACAGAAGAATACACAGAAATTTGACGAGGCCACCAAGTGAGATTTAGCAGAGCCGTCCACCTCAATCCTGCTGTCCTGATGAGTGCAGCACTGGGAGAGGACAAAGCCAAACATCACATAGAAACATGTTCATTCAAAAACATTTCAAGAAATTCTAGATTTTTTCCAGCCTCTACTTTGTGGGGAGCATACCTAGTTAAGCCATACGATGCACACAAACCTAAACTTGCCATAGAAACTGCTATGGTGGGAGAAGACTGTGTTACTGTGCATTAAAATGCAGTTACCACAGTATGGTACTGGCCTTTTGAGATTTGTGAAGTCCCCTGTAAATAATTATAGGGTAACACCCTTTGGGAGCACTCAAATATTACTACCCTTAGTTTATGAAAATTCAGAGAATTTAAAGCCATTACAACAGATGTTTAGATTTAAAAATGCACATGTTCACTGGTAAATTACGCAATTTGCAGAGATTCTGAATACTACCTACCCTCATAAACTCAGCACATAATCTAAGCCCAGAACATAGCCACAGTTCTGGGGAACAGAGATATTTCAGAAAGCCAGAAAAAACCTGTTTGCTTCTTGGTGGGGAGGATTTGGAGAAAGAGCAAGCTGTATGATTGTAAGTGCATGAGGATATTTTTTGCATTTTTGCCAACATACAGTGAAAGCCGCAGTTGGGGCTCAGCAATTTTATTGTTTGTGAAAATACGTATTGTGTACATAGAAATATACCAAAAGAAAACTCAACATAAAACATCACCGTATTATTTCCTGCAACATTCTCTAGCTAATAAATATTACACTTATTCAAATATAAATATAATCTCAGAAACGTTACCTAGCAGAACAACATTGCTGCTACTCAATAGCAACCTCCTCAAACTTGACAGACCCCTGGTTCCTCCAGGGATGGAGCGGGCAGCAAGCCAGAAGTGTAACTTTGTGAGCCTGCAGATTCCTCTGCCACGGAGTGTATGTGCTCAGGGGACAATCGTTCCAGAGTGTCCTCTGGTTGTATGGGTTGCGTAAGTGCAATTGAGAGGGGGAGAAAATAGGGTTATGGGCAGCTGACCTCAAATTTAGCTGTAGCTGTGCAGTTTAACATGGCTAGGGCTACTGAAAACTTCACTGGCTAAATGCTTTAGCATCACCAGTGACAGTAACTCAGACTAAAGGATGAGAGGGATAAAGAGAAACTTAGCTTAAATTCACTGTAGGCAAAAATTCAAAGTCTGTTTATAGATGTGCATATTCCATATATTGGTTCGGACTACCGAGTGGTTTTGGCAGTGATCTTGGTTTGAAGGCAGCACTCTGATCCTGCATTTAGGATTGAAAACCTGCAGTCTGAATGTTAGGATTCTCCTTGCCTGGGAGAGTTGTTCTGCGTGATATATGTAGGGAGTAAATCAAAGAAAATAATGTGGAATCAAAGCCAAGTGGGAAGGTGTATAAGGCAGGAACAAATGCCTTGCCCATATCCATATACCTGAAAAGATATTCTGGTTCCTAAAAGCTACTCTAGAACCATAGGTCTTAAAAATGTCAAAAATTAAACCTCCTTCTATGAAGAAATAGTTCAACGTAGGATATGTGAGATTGTGGGATTACATTATTTCCTTGTTTCATTTTTGTTGGCAAATGTATTTGAACCTGACTTCTGTAAGGATGGGAGAGACTGCTGATGGAAGTTTGCATCTCAGAGTTTTTGTAAACTGCTGTCACGTAAGGTTTGCTGCCCAAACAGAGAAGCATCAAAACTACATGCTGCATATATGCACGTATCATCCGTGAGTCCTCTTGACTTCTCTAGTTATTGCTAATGCTTAGCAGAAAGTCCTGATCTTATTTACAAGTTCTGCATGACACCAACAACCACACTTCAATTTTGAGGCTGGTTATGTCCAAAGAGTGTCTCTGTCTTGTGATGAAAATGTAGATTTTAATTGAAATACCAGGAGATGATATTTTTTTGTACCTTATTCTGCTGTCACCACATAATGTGGAACTCCTCGTGGACTAAGTACGCAGGAAGTCCATTTGCCTAGGACTTTTCCTTTAATCAATCCCTTTGTTTGCAGATGGGATAGAAAAGTCTTTGCTTGTCATGATTCGGTTACTCTTTGAGGTATGAGAAAACTCTTCTCATTATCACTGGTGCATTGAGCATATACTCTGCATGTTTCTCCTCATGGCTACCCTTCTGAGCCCTGTGGCTCCTTCCAAACACACCAGTTCAGAAGTTCCTGTACCTTTCACAAATAATCAGACCCTGGGATCCTGTCTTGTCCTGGACTAGAAACATGTAACACTGCTCAGTCCTCCATACTCCGTTCAAAGACGTTGTATTTATCTTCTGATGTAGAAAGACTGAATAAAAAAAGAATACAAACATTCAGCTTTGGATGCCGCCCTCCAAGAATGTCTCTATCTGCATCAGAGACCCGTTTTCCCACTATACAATACAATTTGAGAGAATATCAAGACTCTTCAACACATTGCTTTTTCTCTTACTTCCTTACAAACTCACATGCATACACAGATACCTCTTCAGTTTACCAGGTACCAGAATCCTGTTCCTGTTATGACACAGTTTCAGAGAAAATTAGGCAAAGGGAGAACAAAACCACCTTGAAATACCACCATCAGAAAGGCAGTCACTAAATCCAGCCTGTTCCCACGTGTCCCAGGCTTATTCCTCTTCAGAGCTTTCAGGTCCAGCCCACTCTGAATTAAAGAGCTATGGAAATGTCTAAACGTTCCTCCTCAGTTTTGGTTGTAGTTTGTTTGTTTGTTTGTTTGTTTGTTTGTTTTTTCCCAGGGAAGAGCTTCATTTGGGAGTTCACAGAACTGGAATAGCAATGTTAGATCTCTTAGATTTGAGGCTGTATCTTCAGGAGAAATATTCTTGCTGAATTGTGTGGTTCAGGACTCCATAAGCAATTGCTGCTTCTGCTTGCAAGATGCAAATCACATTCTTGGCCAAACCAAAGCCTGTATCTGTCTAGGCTCTGGAAGACTCAGGGATATCTTGTCTGTCTGGAAGTACCAACCTCTGTCCTTTCCTTCTTCCCAGGCATATGGCAAGTGTCTATGGTGAGAGGATTCCTATTAATGCTTTGTGTGGGAAAAATCCAGCCATCTGCCCTCTCAGAACTCTTATCTTCGCTTAGCAGCCATGATTATAGATCAAATTCAGAGATTTCACTCAGCTGATACAGCAGAAGAGAAAAGGATGGCCGGTCATCTTTCCTCTTAGCAGGGAGAGAAGAGAGAGGGAGAACATTAGTGTCAACTTGAGAGGAATGGCAAGGTTAGGAGGAAAACCTCGTGAAGAAACTGGGTTTTAACAAAATACAATCTATTGTTATAGGGAAGATGCCAACGGAAGAATGAGTTTCCTTCTGTGCAATGCTTCTTTTCTGCTAGCAGTGAATTTTGCCTAGTAGACACTAAGTACCTTGTAATTGGTTGGCTGTCATCTTTACAATCACTGTTAAAACTCAGCCTCACAGATTGCAGCTTTCTTAGGAAGAAAACTGCTGAATTAACTTGAGTTAGGTGCACTACATGGACTTCTCAGTGAAGTCAACACATTCTACAGACAGCAGTTTAAATGAAAGGCAAAGAGCCTAGAGTCTGCTTGCTAGAGCAGATGAAAGCTACAGAGTGAGTCACCTCCAGGACTTTATCTTGTGTTAGCATGCAAAGTGTATACCTCTCTCTCCTACTAAAAAACAAGGAGAGGAGAACTCTTGTCTTTAGGAACTAGGGCTCTTCCGTTACAATACTAACCATCTTCCAGCAGTGGCTCATGACCTCATAAATTGCCTTGGAGGCCAGTTTGGGTTTGTAGAGCCGAAATCCTGCATTGATTTCTTCCACCACTTCTGCATTGGTGCGATTCTCATAGGGGATTTTACCTTCACTGAAGACCTCCCACATCAGCACTCCTAAAGCAAACAAATGACCAAAAACACAAAGAAGCAAATAAAATCCTTGGCAGATCCACAGCCACCTTCCACCTGATCTTCTCTGCAGCTCAGCAGTGGTGTCTATTACTTGGAAAAGCATTTTCACCTGGATTCTTAGTACATATCTGAAAAATCTCCTCCTCTGCAAAATGTCCCAGGTGGTGTGATTCCCTGGGATGAATTCACGTGCAATGACAGTGGAATTTCAAAGGATTGCAGCACATTTTTTCTCTTCCTAAACAGTCAAATATTTTCCTGTGAATACTGTTCAGAGCAGTACAGAAACTTGTGCTTTTCTAGTGTGGTGGAAGAGAGACAGGCAAAGACTGTTGAATACATTGTGATTGGCCACCAGATCAGAGAGGCTCTGCAAATGGAGTGAATACAAGGGATCTGTGTTATTATGAGGTTTAATTTCTTTGGTCGCCTAATATGACTGACTTGGTAAACTGTGCTCACATTGCAGGGGAAAAGGGGGACAGACAGATGGATAGACTGATCTGAAACAAAGCAGTGTAACTCCACAGTCAACTTTGCTAAAAAACACCTGCTTTCCAGCTTTGAATTCTTCCAATAGGAAGATGCATAGAGATTGCAGCTCTTCACCAATGATACTGGCTCTACTGAAGGATAAGCAAAGCAGTTGTACTCCCTCAGTGTGCAGATTCCTGCACTGGGAATTTCTCACATCCATTTTATTCTCCTGGGCACAGCAGGATTTCAGGCCTGGCAGAAGAGATGAATGGGCTGCAGAGTAGCAGAGCAGAAAGCTTCTCACAGTCATGAGACCATGACACGACAGAAGAATCCTCTTATGCAAACCCCACTGGATGGGGAGATAACAAGTCTGACAGATATACAACGCTACAGTCTGCGCATTTCACAACGAAGGACTGACCAACACAAGCAAAGCTCACCAGTATTTCATTCAGGACTGAAGCTGGAGGGAGCCAGCTTCCCCAGGCTTGGCATCACTCAGGAAATTAAACTGAGCACTCTTTTTGGGAGCATCTAGCTCTCAGTATACAGGCCAGTTTCTGATTTGTGAAGCTGAACCACCTTCTTACCAAAGTAGCATCTTTCCTCATGTCACTGCCACTTCGCTGTGAGGTGTCAGAAGTAGCTCCACTGGCAAATGTTGTCCCCTTGTGGTGAGTGCTGACAGCCTCCTCAACATGCCAGGGGACACAGAAAGAGGAATGGTGCTCTCCAACGCATCTCCCGTTTGGGTTCATGAAGGCAGTTGTGTGTGTCTGAGCACCCAGCTCCCACTGCACTGCTCGTAACCCACCACAGGAATGCACCACTCATGCATAAGACAGTAAAGGGAGAGGGAAGCACAGAATTCACAAGTGCAGACTAGCAAAGGTTATAATCCTGCATTATTTACTGTGAGGCCCGGAGCTGAGTGGCACCCCATTGACTGTGTGCTGTGCACAGCACACTGCACCGATTCATTCTGCAGCACCATGATTTGCATGCTGGCTGGAGGTGGGCCAGATACATCAGTGTGCCAGATCAACAGGCCAGGGGGTAGCCTTTGTTATCTTCAGTGCCAGTGACTTTGGGGAAAAAAGTGTACAATGGGTTTCTTATCTATGAGTGTTCAGAAGAGAGACCAAGGAACAGAAACAAGTCATAAAACAATGCGTTGGGGAGCAGGAAATGAGGTGAGAAAATGTGAGCAGTGAAATAATGTTTTCAGGTTGGAATAAAGCAAATGGAATCAGCAGAACAAACTTGGAAAGACAGTGCTCAAGACTGATGTGCAGAGAGATGGAGTGTGTAAATGTCTTTCTTTTCTTTATTTAATCTTGCCAGCGAGTCTCCAACCTCTTCTTGGACACTTCTGCTATACCAGCGTGAAACAGAGTTCATTATGTCATATTATATAGCATTGCACAGGTCTAATACATTAAATTGGCAGTATTTGCAGTGTTCCAAAGTATGTAGGTAGTTTACTGTTCTTTCCTTTCTTTAGCTTAAATGATTTAGACTTGCTTTCTTAAGCCTTTACTCAGGCATAATACCCTTGGAGCCCAGAGGATGTAGTGTTTGGGCGAGTTTACTTGAGGACTGAGCCCCTAGTTTTTCTCAGCTGAGAAAATGTTTGCTGAATTTTTTTCATTCTGACACGAGGTTCTTACCAAATGACCAAACGTCAGATTTGGTGCTGTAGTTGCTGTAGGAGAAAACCTCTGGAGCAGACCACTTGACTGGAAACTTGGTACCTGTGGAGCTGGTATACTGATCATCAAGGACAATCCTGGAAAAGGAAGAGGAGGGAGCTTGCTGAGTAACCCGCCCATCTCATGACAGCCCTGCAGGGAGCGTGCGCAGCCTCAGCAGCATTACCTCGACATCCCGAAGTCAGACACCTTGACCACGTGGGATTCTCCCACCAGGCAGTTCCTGGCGGCCTGCAAGAAGGTACAAAGGCAGAAAGTCAGGCCTGAAAGACTATTACGGCTGCTCAGTTGCTTTTATCCTTGCAGAGCAGATAGTGCTTAAAAAAGAGAATCAAAGTGACATTGTACCATACAAAGAAGGTGAAAATTTGAGGTTCTCGTGCTTTCTGTACATTTTACAGCTAGCGTGTTCCTGTAGCCACAAAAACCATTCAACCATCAGTCTGACTTGTTGTCCAGAAAGGGCAGAAAAAGACCCTAAAATATCTACAGCTACTTGCAGTCCTTGCTCCACTAAAGCAGCAGTGACTGATGCAGCTTGACTGAACAGCATGTAATTAAAAGTATTTTGTCAGCAATGCATGTTTATGCAAATGTTAAAACAGGTGTTTTTGGTATCCTCACTGATTTTTAGACATGAAGAGTGGTCAATCCCTGGGAACTATGGGAGCTGGGGCTCTCTGTGAGCAAAAGAGTTCACTCAGAAAAAAGAGGCAAACTTTATGTCTTTGTTTCTTCTCTCTAAAATACAATTAAGGAAAACAGATTAATCAGAAGACACTGAATCCTCTGTCAACAGACAGGCAGGAGGAGCGTGAAAGCTAAGGGTAAGAAAGGGAGAAAGCACAGGGAAAAGCTGAGCTGGAGCAGAGAGAAAGTCTATGTGGGACCGACATACCAGGTCTCTGTGGATGACAGAGTTTTGTTCCAGATAAGCCATCCCTTCACACACATCTTGGCACATCCCCAGAAGGGTTTCCTTTGAAAAACTGCCCCGCTGGCTCCTGAGGTAGTCGGACAAGCAGCCATTCTCCATGAACTCAAATACCAGACAAATGGGAGTGTTCTCAAAGCACACACCATAGAGCTGGACTAGCTTGGGGTGAGAGAGCTTCCTGTGGGATAGGAGGGAAGGTGGAAAAGAGGCTGAAATAGTCTCAGTGCTTTCTAAACTTACAGCAAGTATGCTATATACAGCCACCTATGTCTTCTTGTGGTACCCCTCTCTCCACAAAACTGGAAGAAGAAAATGTGTAGACCACTTCTAATGGCAAGTAGCAATACTATCATCCCATGTTAATGGTAACAGTTACCAGAAAATTTTCTGCATAGGACATAATCCAATCAAACAAAAATAAAATCCATTTCTGTCTATTTCAAAGGGAGGGAAATGGAAAGGGACGTAATCCAATCAAACAAAAATCAAACAAATTCTGTCTATTTCAAAGGGAGGGAAATGGAAAAAACCCACAAAGTCAATAAACCCAAAAAGAAATATTTTCTGTTGTGCAAAGCAAAAAAATTTCACAGGTAAGGTTTTTAATTTCCCTCAAATTTTAAGAGATTTCTTTTTTGACAAGAAACACATTGCTCTCCAAGATATACCATCAATTAACCCTACCTTCCAGAACAGCAGAGATTGGGAAGACCATTCTGGATATTGATAGGCTTAGAAGCACAGTAATTCACGTACACTTTGCATTGCCTTCTTTTGTAAGCACCTGAGGTCACTGGTCTCTATGCTATTTAGATGCGTAGTTGATAATCCAAGTTTACATTTCACACTCGTATTCCACAGTGTTATCACAACACTTTAGTTCAGTCTTATGAATCCTACAAGGCCTGATTTTCTTGTTGAATCTACCACTTACATCAAGACTTTAGCTTCCTCGATGAAATCCTCTTCAGACACAAGGCCTGATTTTCTTGGTGAATCTATCACTTACATCAATACTTTAGCTTCCTCGATGAAATCCTCTTCAG